CCTCCCCTTCCCTCCTCCTCCTCCTCCTCCCCCCCTCCTCGTGCCTCTGCTCAAGGACCTCTACGAACGCTTGGCTCGGCCTGGTGACCGCCTGCTGCATCTGTCGCTGGGATCCGTGACCTTCTCCGGAGATCTGGATTCAACCGCCGGAGGAGGCGACGCGATCCGGATCCAGAACCGTACCGTCATCTTGCACAACTGCACGCTGGCGTTTAAGCCGGGCCAGAAGCTGTACGTCGGCGATGGAGGACACGTCATCCTGGCAGACGTGTCAATTATTGCGTTAGCCGGCGGCGGCGGCGGCGGCGGCGGCGAGGCAGGGGAGAGAACTCCGCGCGGCTCCGGAGCGCGGCCGCTGCCGTCACCGCGGTATTTGAACAGCGCCGCGAGCACACCTCGCAGTAGCCGCTGCATCAGCAGCCTTGGCTTGCCGCTGCTCCACGTCAGCGAAGGTGGACGACTGCTACTGCGCGGCTGTTGCGTGAAGAGCGTGCCCGCTGGCAGCGGCGGCAGCGGCGGCGCCACACCGCCAATACTGTCCATCCTGGCCGATGGCGGCGCCGCTGTCGAGGCCATCGGCTGCCGCTTGGGTCGCTGTGCCGCCGTCGGCGATAGCACCTGGCTGGCGCTGCGACGGTGTACGGTGAAGCCAAGTACGGCTGACGTCGCCGCAGTTGCAGCGGCGGCGGCGGCCCCTTGGCCGCTGCTTCGGGTCGCCGACGGCGCCGCCGCGGAGGTGTCTCAGGTAGAGCTACGTAACGGCCCTTCGCACGGCGTCGTAGCCTCCGGGGCCGGTACACGAGTGGCGCTATCGCGATCAGCTGTCGTACAGTGCCGCCTTCACGGCGTGCTGGTCTCCCAAGGCGCCACGCTGACGGCGGCGATTTGCCGCGTCGGCGGTAACGGCGCGACAGGCATGACGGCCCGCGGCCGCGGCACCGCTGTGGACCTGCGCGACTGCGAGTTGTCGTACAACACCATCAGCAATCTGTGGGTTGGCGGCGCCGCTAACGTCAGCCTTGCGTCATGCTCGGCGCTGGGGTCCCGCGAGGGCTGCGGCGCGGCGGTGGAGGGCGGCGGCACTCGGCTGCTGGCCACGGCGTGTATCTTCGACGGCAACGCCGCCAGCGGTGTACGTGTACGACAAGGCGCTATGACGGAGCTACGTGACTGCAGCGGCAGCGGGAACGCCTGCAGCGGTTTGGAGGTGGAGGGCACCGTCGATTCGGCCGATAACGCGGAGCTGCTGGCGGAGGCGACGCTGAAGCGTACGGCACCGCCGCCGCCGCCGCTACCTGAGGTATTTTGCCTCGTGGTGGGTGGGCAGCTAGCGAAGAACAGCAGCCATGGTTGTGTCGTACGCCGCGGCGGCGGGTTACGCATCACAGCTGGCTGCGAGCTGAGTCAGAACGGCGGCGACGGTGCGTGCGCTGACGGCGTCGGCTGCGAGCTGTTGCTTGACGGAGGCTGTACGGCACGAGGCAACGGCGAAAGCGGGTTGTTTGTTTGTTCCGGCGCGGCGGTGTGGGCTGAAGGCTGCCGTCTGGGCGGTAATGCGCATGGCGACGTGTCTGTGGGGGGACGGGGGAGCCGGGGGCGGCTGGTGGACTGCGTGTTCGACGACAACCCCATGACTTCCCTCCGGGTTCACATGGGCGCCAAGGTACTTCCGGATGCAAAAAGGGGACGCGAAGGAAAAACACACACGGTGAAGGAAAACACACACGGTGAAGGAAAACACACAGCGTGGGAGCAATTGGCCTGGGGGGGAGCCGGCGGCAGTGGCGGCGGTCGGGGGTTGTGGGAGAAGACGGGTTTGCTCGGAGCCGGCTTTCGGGTGGGATAACTGCCGTACGGGGTACGGATAACTCAAGGCTGGTCTTGGGCTCCCACCATTTCCGTTTTCCTATCCATTCGCAACCCTGACAGCAACTCACACCACCCTGAACCTCTCGCTGGCTCAATAAACACAACACCCTTCCCCTCCCCTTACCCCGCTTTCCCCCCCCCTTACTCTTACTGTTCCCAATCCACAATTTTTTTGATTGAGGGAAACCTGCTTTTCAACTGCTAACTGCGGCAACTACCAACTGTCAACTACCAACTGCCTCATTTAGGTGGCCCTCCGGCGATGCTCACTGGAGTCTGCCCCTGCCGCCGCCACTGCCGTACCGCGAGCCCCACATCGCCTCAGACAACTCAGAAGCAGCTCCCCCTCCTCTTCCTCCGCGGTCTCCACTTCGTTTTCAAGACGACAGGAACAGCCGCAGCAGCAACAGCAACAGCTCGGAGCTGCCACCGCCGCCGCCGCATGTTCCCCCCAGTTCAACGGCAACGAGGCGACAGCAGCTGCATCAGCAACAGCAGAAGCAACAGCAACAGCAGCAGGAGATGGAGATGGAGATGTAAAAGGAGGAGTGGCCGGAGGGCGCTCTGCTTTGACGCTGGCGTGGGTCCGCAACCACAGCGTGCAGCTCCGGGGCCACGGCACCGTGTTGACTGTGGATGGTCGAGTTTACTTCCCCTTGGAGGAGGAGGAGGGGGGGGAGGGGGTTGGGCACCAGGAGGCGGGGGAGAAGGCGGACGGGCGGGAAGCTCTGTCAGTGCGGGAGATTAGGTGGGCGGGGATGGGGACAGCAAGGCTTGGGCTCCCCGGAGGTCCTGGGGGGGAGTTGGGGGCAAGGAGGAAGAGGGGGGAGGAGTAGAGGGGTAGAGGAAGGGGAAGTGAGAGATTGGGGGTGAGCTGCAGCAGCGGCCGCTGACGTGCGAATGTGACAAAGTGGCGCAAGCAGTAGCAGCAGTAAAAGCCATGCGGCTGGTGGCGACGTGGCGGGGTCGTCGGGCAGTGGTCCTCCTCCTGTGCAGCAGGGAGGCAATGAGGCGTGTAGCCTCAAGTCAGGGAACAGCATGAGTCGTCGCACTAAGTCGCACTAAGTTGCACAAGCAGCAGCAGCAATAGCAGTAGCAGCAACAGCAAGTGTGTCCCCTTTCGCCCCGTGTTCAACCCCTTCCATAATGCTTGTGTTGTATCCGGTGTCCTTGTTGACTACATGGGGTTGGGGGTAGGTGGTCGAAAGGTATATGCCCATGCGGATCGGTCAGGTCAAGGTGGTCGGGTCAATGACACGAGTCGCTTTTCTCCTTTTGGGGCCCTCGCGGGTTCGCGGGTTCGTGCGGGCTTGACCTCTGTCCCGGGGCCCTATCTAACCTGTAGAGTGTGCGTGTGGGTGTGGGTGCAGGTGTGGGTGTGCGGGGGTGCGGGGGTGGGCGCACCTAGAGGCATGTGGAGGCGTTTTCGTTCGCGTGCGGAAGTATATATCCTGTTAGATGTGATGCCTGGGTCCCGGGAAATCTTTGCAGGTGATGGCGGATTTGGATCCATGCGCAGGTGGTTGCAGGGCAGGAGGGGCAGGGCAGATGCGCCCCCATGGGCTGGCCCAAGCAGGGCGCTGCTAGCGGCGTTGGGTTGGTGTTGCTACCGTTGCTACCGCTGTTGTGACCGTTGCCCTTTCCTTTCTTAATGTTTAGTACTTGTATGTGTTGTGGAATTTATTGCGTTGATTTGTTGCTTCTGAGGTGCCGTACTGTATATAGATGCTAGGTACATAAGGTGATGTGTCCTCATAATATGGATTTCTTTGGGTTTTGGTTTTGGAGCGTGCGCTTGCGTTTGTGTACGTATGTACGCATGTATGTATGCGTTATTTATGAGACGGTGCAGACGGGCAATGCTGGTATGTTGCGCTTGCGCAACGAAACGTGTCGGACATCTCTTTTCCTTGGGTGGCAGGTTGTATATATGTGCGTGTGAAGGGGTTAGGGTGAGGGAGGGAAGGGAGGCAGAAGTGAGAGAGCGAGAGCATTACGGCGGGACCCTGGGAGCTCTCTAGAAGCGCGCGTATATACGTATATACGCCATATTTCCATTCTCCACCTCTCCATCAACCAAAAACACACCAAGCAAAATTACGAACATGCACATGCAGTGCACAAGCACATGGACTTGCAGCAGCCCCCTCTCAGTTGACCAAGTGGAGTACTTCTGCCCCCACCCACCGACCCACCGGACCCGCACGAACATCGCATCTACTCGCATGGCCGTGTCTCCACCACACATCCACATCCACATCCAGCCACCCACCCAAATACCCACCCACACAACACCATATGCAGAGATGTAAGAATACTGTAAGACCCAGGATAGCACACAGATCTACACAAATACATACATATATGCAGAAACACACACACCCTCTTAAGGATGCAGGAGGCGAAGCGATCCCGTAAGAAGCTTTCTTGGCATACAAGCCCTCGCGGTCGGGGACACACGTTTCCAGTTCCTCCGCTCTTGCTCGCATTGCGTATATACACACCACACTTGCATGCACAATGGCATGTAATTTCTGCTCCATACAAACATACAGACAAACGGGGGACACAACAGGGTGTAGACGGACAGAGACGCCAATGCACACGCAAGTGGGGAAACGGGCAGACGGGCAAATTGCAAAAACGCAGACAGACAGACAGATAGACAGGCACACACCCCGAAGTTCTGCCATATGCCTTAGGCGGCCGTATCTAGCTTGCCGTCTTTCCCACCCTGCTTCAACACGTCAAGTCTTAAACCCGCCAGCATCCCCTCCGCTCTGTAAGGACGTCATCACACGTCGTCTCATGTTCAACTCTAGCAATTTTCCTTCTCCCTGCTTTTCACCTAAGGCTGCCTTCCAAACTAAACACCACAACGAAGCCGCTCGAGAGACTAAGCGGGGCGCTCCACACCGTCCGGGGCGTGGTGTTGCCGCCGGTAGAACTCTGTAAACCCTAGTCGGGAGATGGTGGTGGTGATTGTGGTGGTAATTGTGGTGGTGGCTGCTGTGCGGTGGCAGATTTCGCATCCCCCCTACGGGGAAAGGTAGTGACTTGACAACCACCCCACGGCCACGGGGGCCGCACCAGGCGAGTCCGTTCTTCACCCAGCTCCCAGCCAAAACCAACCGGACCGCCACTCCAAAATAGAGGAGCGGAAAAAAACCTTGCGCGCCAAAATTTACTTCGTCTTTTAACAATTACCCCGTAATCACTACTTTCTAGAATATCTCAAAGGCGGAGTCGTCATCAGTAAGCCAAACCATATTTGCCAAGTCATGCTTTGCTGCCTTCTTACGCCTCAAATCGTTACGTGCGCACAGCCGCAGTCACAGCCGCAGGCGCCTACGAATTGGCTATGCGAGCGCATATAAACCCTTCACCGCCACAACCCACAGCTCCCATCCCCTCGTTATCCCCGCCACCCACCCCGCCACCCACCCCGCCACCCACACCACCACCCACACCACCCAATACATAGACCCACCTCCCACTCTCCGTCGAAGGCCGTGGACGTAGCATCGGCCAGGCGTGTGCCGCCGCCAGTTCAGACCAAGACACCGTCATCACACCGTTATCACCACCTCATCTTCCACATTCCCTCGGCCACCCTCAAACCCAGCGGGTTATGTAACAATACATACATACATACGCGCGCACGTGGGCAGCCGCCACCGATGCTTCCAGTGTCTCTTTTTCTCAGGACACCGCACGTGGCTCCTCATCCACCAAGAACGGTGGCGCTCACTCCCCCCTCACACTGTCTCTCTGTCTGTCTGTCTGTTTATCTGTCTGTCTCTCGCTGTTTCACTCGCTGTCTATCTATCTATCTATCTATCTATCTACCTATCTATCTACCTATCTATCTATCTTCCTTTCCCAACCCCGACCCCGGCCCTACAGTTGCACTGTTGCCGTAGGACTCCTACCCACTCGCTCTCTCTCTGCAATCCGACACCCCTCCCTTCTCTTTCCTTTACTCCCACCTCCCTAAACCAAAACCAACTTCAAAACCTTCTCCCCCCCCCGCGGGTGGTGTAATGACACAGAACAATCACGCAGCAACAACATCACAAGGCGTGTATGTTATGTGTGTATGTATGTATGTAACTGTGTGTGAGTCGCCTCCTTACCCCCTTCGCACAGTCGAACACCCACCACCACCACCACCACCACCACCACCATCCTGCCACCCCTACAGCCGCCGGCTGCGGTGCCGCCGAGGAAGGAGGAGTATCTTCCCTCGCAACGAGGGATACGATACAATCGCCTCCTGTGTGTGGGACGTTTAGGTCTCGGCAGCTTGGTACGGATTCCCTCGTACTACTACTACTGCTACTACTACTACTACTACCACCACTACTACTACTACTACCACTACCACTACCACCACTACAACTACTACTACTACCACCACTACCACCACTACTACTCCATTTCATTCACTGCTTTGCAACAACCTCCGGACGAACTGACGACCCAGCCCACCGCAAAAACAGCAGCAGCCGTAACAGCAGCAGCAGCAGCCATGCAACCATGCCGCTGAGTGTCTGGCAGCCAAAACAGCCCCGTGTCAACCAGCAAAACCAGCCAGCTAGCCAACTATCCATGGCCCCCCTTTCCTTCCCAGCGGCGAATGCAACCGCCGCGGCCTGGTTAGCGGAGGGGTTGACTTCCTTTCCCACTCTATGGCCCATGGGTCGGTCGGCTCGCGGCTGGAACTTCTATAAGTGGAATCTACGCAACGCTACACTTCCACTCCTGTATGACCCATGGGTCGCAGCTTTCATCCATATCTACCCTGCATAAATTTGCTCTGAGAGCCTCATAAGCTTCACCCTCAATTACCCCATGCATTGATCTTTACTTCTTCATTCGGTACCGCGTGCGACCCATGGGTCACAGGCTTGCTATGCCCTTCACCCTGATTTTGCCTGTATGCGTACATTTCTCTTTCCTACACTTCCGCATAATCCTCGGGGGTGATAAGGGGCTCCCAGAGCTGCCTTCCCGCTCCCTGTGTGACCCACGGGTCACTCACGGCGCCCGCCTCCTCCTCCTCCATCACTCCAGGGGGCTCCATTCCTTGTTGTCCGGCAGCATAGCCAGCAGCGCCTTGGTCACCTCGGCAAAGGGCGGCCGCGTCTTGGGGTCCTTGCGCCAGCAGCGGTTCGCCAGGCTGCGGTACCACTCGGGGCAGTTGGCGGGGAACTTGGGCCGCAGGTTGTGAGTCACCACGCCCACCTGGGCGAGAGATGGGGGGTGAGGAGGCGGGGAGTGAAGATTTCGGGCTGGGAAGTTGGCGATCGGGTTGGTCGGTACAAGCGGGGGAAGTATATGCGCGTCAGTCAAGGGGGAGGGAGAGCCGCTACTGACGTCCAAAGTCGCGAAAAGGAAGGAGGGGGCGGGAAGTAGCAATGCGACAATAGGGAGGCGTGTGGGATTAGCCTGCAAACGGCAAAGCACAACACACAGTTGTGTCGACGTCCAACTGCTAACAGCGCCCACAACAGTGGTGTAAGGCGGCGGGGTTGAAGAGGGGGAGGTAAGAGTGCCCCTAGTTGATGGACGGTGGTGACCTGGGATAAAGTCAACCTGCGAGCCGACCAGGAACGGAGTTGGGCCGCTGTCGACCCGGCAGGTTCCGTTGGATGCTGGTGGTGGGTGCGGAACCTGAGCGATCCACTGAGATGTTGACTAGGGTGACTGGATGAGGGTGCCCCGAAATACCGGGGAAGGCAGGGTTTCGCAGGGTAGCTGCCACGGGTGAAGGTATGATCCCCCTGTCCCACACATCGTACATACCGGCGTACATTCCCTCCCTAGGCTCCTTTTCTTCTTCCCGCCGTCAACCCACGAAGGGGGAAGACAAAAACACACACCCACTCCCCCCGGGGGCGGGAGGGCACCCCCGCCCCTGGCACACCCCTCCCTCCGCCCTCCGTCCCCTGACCCGCAAACCCACCCACCATGATTTGGGGGTGCGCCATGTTCTGGTAGGGTGTTGAGGAGGTGTAGATTTCCCACATGATGATGCCGAATGCGTACACGTCCCCCTGCTGGTACACCTTGCCGTCCTCGATCAGCTCCGGAGCCATGTGGGTCACCGTGCCGCTGTACTTGGTGGAAACCTGTACGTCGGGTTTTATGTGGCACGACGAAAAATAATACAAAAATTATTAAAATATGTATATATGTAACAATAATATATGAAACGAAAATATGTATATAAAAGATTTAAATGAATATATATATATACATATATGTTGTTACATAGTCGTGGGTGCGTTCCCCGTACCTGCAAACCACCCTAATACGAGCCGAAGGCTCAAGGGCTGCCAGATCGCCTATAAGCACCATCCTACCTCGCACTTCAAACGAAACAAGTGATGAAGGATACTAACGACCAAAGGGAACGATATAGAGTTGCGGTGGGACTATATACGTTCCAGCATCCTTGCCAGGCGTTCAGGTTCCCACTTCACAGCGTCCTTCATATGCTCGAAGCGTGGGGAAATCCATATCAGATCTGATTTTGTGTATACATATATAATTTTAAAAAAGGAAAAAACGAGATGGGAACGTAACTTGTGGGGCTTTGGACTGCGAGCGCGGGGTGAGCGATGTGTGTGTGTGCTAACGGGAGCCCAGCGGAGACGGATGGGGAGGCAGTGGCTACAAAGCGGGGGGGGGAAGGGGGCCCCCCGGGGGGGGGGCGGAGGGGGGGGAGGAGGGGGCCCCCGGGGAGCGCCATGACTCGAACTCAGGACACATTCCCCGTTTTGGCCAGGTACCTTTCCCCAAACCCCTACCCCACCCTACCTCACCCCGCCCCCGCCACTCGCCCACCCACCTGGGTCTTGTTGGTATCTGGCAACACCTGGCTAAGCCCAAAATCCGAAACCTGCACGCCGACGTGTTTTGCGGGGGAACGAGGGAGGGTGGGAAAAATCAGAGAAAACACAAACACACACACTCATATACACGTATGCATGCAGGCGAGAGAAGCCGCGGAGGAGGTGGTGGTGATGGTGCGATCCGATGTGAGACGACGCAGGGCAGGTGCAGGAGGCTGCAGGAAGGCGCCGTACACGAAGTAGGGCCCAGACAGCCAGGTCCGGTACCAATCCATGCCCCCCGTCAACCTCCCATAATTCATCTCCCCGCCCCAACCTCCCCCCCACCCCCACACACACACTACACACACGCAGGCGTCCGTACATTCGTACGTCCGTACATCCACGTGCACGCACCTTGGAAACGTAGCCCCTGCGGTCCTTATTCGACGTCTTGAGCAGTATGTTCTTGGGTTTCAAGTCCCTGTGTGTGATGCGGTGCTTGTGGAGGTACTCCATGGCTGCACTCACCTGCGGCGTGTGCGTGTGCGTGCGGAGGGGGCCCGGGCACGTGTGTGTATTTACACGTGTATTTCACATATTTGGGACATGCAGCGGCGGGATGGGGGGAGTTACAAGCAGTACCAAGAAAAACAACTGCCGACGCCCGGCGGGGTGGGTGGGCTGGGGCGGGGTGGGAGTTTCGACGCGTCGGCATGTCAACTGTCAACTTGTGAGTGTACGGGGGGGAGGGGCAAGTGTAAAGGGGGGTGGGTGAGGGGGTTCTCCTCTCCGTCCTCACATGTACGACATTTGTCCCGCTCCCAGCCGCCGTCCCCAACCCCCCTCCTCCCCGCCCTCCTCCCCTTCCAACTCCCCGTGTGTGCTGCTCCCCCACCCCACCCACCATTCCCTCTGGCACCTGCACGTAGTTCCAACCCCACACACAACCCACATACCACTACCCATACCAAAACCCACCATACCTATTCACAATACAATACAGACATACACACACACGCACCTCGGCCAGTGTCATGATGACGAGCTCCAGGTCCACTTCGGGGTCCGTACTGCCGCCCCGAACCCCCCGGGGTCCGTCAACGAAGAATACACCCTGCTCGATAGCATCCTGTACGGCATGTGTATACGGCGTGTGTGTATTGTGTGTGTGTCGAGGGGAAAGGCGGGATTGTACGTCTGCCAGTCTTACAGCAAAAGTAGCATTAGCAGGTGGCTCTTGAACACACACTTCTCTCCCCCTCTTCGCGCAAAATCGCCCCCTCCCCCCCCTCCTCCCTCCCCTCACCCCCCACCTGCAATGAGCCCCGGTCACAAAATTCCATAATGATGTGCGTTTCGTGGAGAACCCTGAAGAAAGAGCGTAGGGTCAGGGCAAAATGAGCAAATGTGATTGTGGTGATTGTGGCGATAATGGGGGGATTCATACGCTGCGAGGGAGCTGCCGGGGGAAGTGAGCTGCAGCTGGCGTCGTCCGTCCGTCCAGGAGGTCCCGGTGAAGAAACTGCCCCTAGAGAGAGAGAGAGAGAGTGAGTGAGTGAGTGAGTGAGTGAGTGAGCGAGTGAGCGAGTGAGTGAGTGAGCGAGTGAGTGAGCGAGTGAGCGAGTGAGTGAGTGAGCGAGTGAGTGAGCGAGCGAGTGAGCGAGTGAGTGAGCGAGTGAATGAGCGAGTCCTGAGCAGCGGTGAAAAGCCATCGAGCGAACCCCCGGGGTTCAGGAAGCAGTAAGGCCCCATTAATATGTGACCGACAATACCGGGGGGAGAGAGGAGGGTAGAAGGGGAATTTAAAGCATTGTACGACGTGAGGAGCGCCTATCAGACAAGGACACGTGCCCCAACCGCCGCTCCACCACCACCTCCTCCACTCCCCGGGGGCTGGGCTAGACTGGGCTGGCCGGGGAAGGAGGTACGAAAAGGAAGAGGAGAACGCGGAGACGAGGAATGGGGACGGGAAGGGGGGACTTTCCTTTCCACACTCCCCAAACGCCTCTCCCAAACCCCTCCTCAACCTCCATCCTCATCCCCCTCTCAACCCCCCTCAACACGGGGTCACGTGACTCCTCCTCCGCCCCCGGAAGAAAGCCCGCAAGTAGATTTACCGCCGCCACCACCACCAACACATCATCTCACCTGCTGCGAGTGATGCCGTTCAGCGATGACTGCGGATCCAAATGTACGACACGGTAATCGTACGTCTGTACGACATGTGGATGACTAATTGTGGATGTCATGGCGCCCTCCAGTAGTGCGGCCCTCCGACTGCTCGTATCCACTTTCCCCTGAGACCCGCTGGAACCCGTGCACGGCAACAGCTCGTCCTCGTGCTCCAGAACCTGTACGACGGAAGTGCACGACAGGGCATTCCCATGCGTAGATGAGTGTACGAAGATGTCCAAGCATCTCCAGCCCCCTCCACTCCATCCCACTCCACTAACGCCCATGGCTCGCTGGAATACCTACTTACAGGCCGCTTTCGCAGTTTGCACGCGGAAATCTTCCACCTTGCCTTCAGTTCTTGCTCAGGCCCACTCCCCCAACCCAACCACCCAGCCACCCACCCAACCACCCAGCCAGCCACTCACCTTGACCGCTACCGTCATGCCCCTCCAAAAGCCGCGGTACACGGAACCAAAGCCGCCGCGACCAATCACCTCCAGCATCTTCAGGTCCGCTCCCCCCCCACCAACACCCACACCGGTGCCACGACCCAGCGCCTGAGCAGCCTGGTTCGCCAGTGCGCGGCGAACCTGCGAAGAGCCGGGCTGCTGCAACAGCCAGGCTGCACGAGGGGGAAACCGGGGGGAGCAGCGGCCGGAAGGGGGGGGGAGCGGAGTTTGCGGGGTAAGGGAGTGGAGAGGAGGGAGAGGGGTGGGTGGGGAAATCATGTGTCTGTGTATTGTCAATTCAATTCAATACATACATTTATACACATGTACATACAAACACATACATGCGTACATGCGTACATACGCACATACATACGCACATTCATCGATGTCTCCTGGTACGAGGTGCTGCCCAGATTCGCTGCTGCTCTGCACCAGCGTCCCCACATGAATACCCGTGCCGCTGGCCGTCCCGCTAGGGGAGCCGTACAGCCCCAGACCGCCGCCGCCAACGCCGCCAGCGAGGCCGTCGTGACTGCTCGCCGCGCCGTACACAACCCCCGGTGGCACAACCAGCCCGGCGTCAAGCGCCGGCGGCACCGGCGACCTCTGGCCGTACACGCCGCTGCCGCCTCCAAAGACCTGCGGCAGCGATACTCCGCCAAAGTACCCTCCAGGTGCTCCTACCCCGCCGCCACCGCCACCCCCCAGGAGTATTCCTTGGTAATCTACGCTCGACCGGTTGCTGTGCATGGCAGCGGGGATTGTGGTAGCCGTGGAGACCGTGGCGAGATTCACCCCGGAGTCCAAACCGCCACCCCCAATCGACCCCGGCCCGACAGGGTACGACGGGGACGGGCCGCCGCCGCCAGGGCCCAGGCCTTGGCCAGTCCCACCGTGCTGCAGCGAAGATCTTGACGGGCCGCGCCGACGGCGCATCGGACCAGGGACACCGGCGCCGCCGCTGCCGCTGTTGCTGTTGCCCTGGCTGCGCAGCGGTGCCGTCGCGCCGGCGACGCCGCCGCCGCCAGCTGCGGCGGCGCCGTACGCTTGGTAATGCAGCGCCTGCGGATTGAGCGGCATACCAAGGGGCTGGGTGTGCGCATACGCAAGGCCGTCGTTCTCGTCCTGATGTAGCGGCACCAGCGGCTGCTGCTGCTGTGGCGGCGGCTGCTTAATGTACGACGACGTCAACGATGACGCCATCATGGCGGCATCCGTTTCCGACGAGTCCACGCCAGCGATGCTGTGCTCCCTGGATGAGTCGTACTTCGCCGTGGCCGGCGGCTGCATGCCGTTGACGTTGACTCCCATGCCCGTGCTCGTACTGCTGAGGACCAGCGCCAGCTGCTTCGCAATGCTCTACGAGAAGAGGAATCAGGGCAATCAGGGCAATTAGAACATTGACAGTGTTGGCAGTTAATGGAAAGTCGTTCAGTAGCAGTTAGTCCGTCGGTACAGCTGCTTCTTATAAACCATATCAGTTAGAAGCAACGTGAAAAGTCAGTTTGGTTGGTTGACAAATTATATTATATAATATATGAATTCAAAAACAACAGCAAGAGCCTTGACTATCATCATCATCATCACCATCATCGCCATTATCATCACCGCCTCTCTCCTCCCGGTATTATCTCTGCCTGCCGCAAAACTCCACCTTTTTCAATCAGTAAACCCCTCGATAGACCCCCCCCCTGCCCCGATACACACACGGCCGCACAGCACCGCACCGCACCGCACCTTCTCAGGCTCCGTCCAGTTCCACCAGTCTTCGAACCCCAGACGCAGCACGCCCAACACACGACTTCCCGCCACCACCAGCGGAAGACAAGCGACTGAGCGAAGGTTCAGCACGAAACGCATAAACTGTACGTCAGCGTACGGCCCCGGAAACGCCGCCACGTTGTTGATGAAAACCGGTTGGCAGTTATGGAGCACGTGATAGATGAGCGTGCCGGGGGCAACTGCCACGTTGATGCGCGGCGGCCGCCGGCTGCCGTCCCCGAGGAACGTATACATGTTGACGCAGTTGCGTGTGGAGTTTAGGAGGCAAAAGGACGCGTGGGCGACGCCGGGGAATATCCCCCGCATGGCGGTGGCGGCACCCCGGATGAAATCGTCCAGGGAGTAGACTCCGGGCTGCTGATCCAAACCCTGTCAATGAGGACGGAGGAGGGAGGAGGAGGGAGGGGAAGGACAAACCACGAACGGGTGAAGCTGCTGCCAAGGAAAGAGAGAGGAGGGAGGGGAGAGGACGGGAATCATGTGGGGCTGCAAGGAAACTGCCTGAACTGAACCGCCGGAAGGCGTCCGTCCGTCCAGGAGGTCCTGGTGAAGAAACTGCCCCTAGAGAGTGAGTGAGTGAGTGAGTGAGTGAATGAATGAGTCCTAAGTGATGGGGTCACCGAGGAGAGGCGAGAGGAGGGGAGGGGGCACGAGGCGACCCGAGGACCCCAATCGATCAAATGCACCCGGGCACCACTAGAACCACAACCGTGTTTTGAAACCCCCAAACAGTCGAACGCACAGACAGATAGACAGACACACACACACACTACTAACAGACAGTTCATTCAAACACACACACACACAGAGACACACACACAGAGACACACGACCGGTTAGGTGAGTAGGCACACTCTAGAACGCCCACCGACGTCCACCCAGCCCTACCTGCCCTACCAGCCCTACCTGCATGAACGTCCTAAAGTTAGCCAGGTGCTCTATCCGGCAGCGCAGGTCCAGAGCGTGGTCCTCCAGAGGGTCCTGTACGGACGTCAGGTCGGAGGCACCGCGAGACAGACCTACAGACGGACGGACAAACAACAAAAGTAGGCATATGACGTCAGCCGTCAGGATACATCAGTAAATTGGAAAACTAACTAATTGAAG